ATATATACTTCATGTAATTCTCAGCAATAAATATAAAAACAATTGCCTTTGGTTAAAATAACTTTGAACCAAGCTTCAGATTTCAATTTGAATTTTCATTTAAATTCGATTGCAATGCAACTGAATCTTAACTAAAATTCGAATCAAAATCATAGTTAAAACCACGTGTCTTGCAATTTATCTCAGAGACTCTAAATTTTTGTCTGAGAGATTTTAAGAATTCAAGTTCCACTGTACAAGTTTGAATGAAACACGATTCAAATTAAAGCTAGAGGTATGAAAAATATGGGCAAATACTTCAGAAAGCTATAACATTATTATAGCATAATGAGTAGACAGAATAATCTTACCAAGTAGAAAAATTAAAATTTTGCATGCCAAGTGGGACGGGAATTGTTTTGGCTAGCTGTATCAAACGGTACTATTATTCTACGATTATATCACGGCCACGCGTGAAGCTATTACATTTCGCCTGATCATCCGACTCTTCGTTTCTCATTCAATTCCTGTTGGTTGCAATCGCTAGCCAATCTTCGCATAGTGCGCGACCAAAAAACGAGTAAGCGACCCGTGTTCCAGCAGCGCGGAGCGGCGTGTCAGTTCCCCACGTTCCAGATTCCCTCTCTAATCGGGCTGCTCCTTCGCGAGGCCCGACCGACATCCGCCCATAAAGCCCCGACACATCCTCCCCGGGTAAAAATCTCCGGGGTCTTCGGAATTGTGCCACGTAGCGGCGATGCCGAAGGAGCGTCCGACGTTTGGCGGCGCGCGGTCGTCGCCAATTCTCGGGGTGCCGTCGCCGCCGCCGCCGCCGCTCCGCGCTGTGCTGCGCCGTTCAACGCCTGAGGGCCGCAGCAACCGACTGGCCTGTCAGTGTACCTGCCGACCAGACAAATTCCGGCCATTAAGCGTTCGAAGCGTCGTCCTCTTCGTCCCCGTCGTCGTCGTCGTCGTCGTCGTCGTGTGCTGCCTGTGAACCCACTCCTTCTACGCGAATACGGCCCCCGTGCGGAATATAATGCCGTGCACCGTGGATTGACCCTTGCGGTACTCCCACCAGACCCGTGCGCGCTCGCGCGCCCGGCCATCACCTACACCCGGTCGAGGTGATATAGCGGGACCGCGAACCAAGTGACCAAATAATGCCATTAGCTATTACCAACACGATTATCCTTCATTGTTCATTTCAGTGTCGAAATTATTCCATCATTTCATGTGTTTTCACTTCTAAGATGAATGTCCTAATTTCTGTTCACGTCATAATTCCTACTCACTGGCTCATATTTCTATAATTTTATAAATTATTTTAGAACTACAGAAGAATAAGTCAGTGAGTAAAAATTGTGATATAATCAGAAATTGGGAATTTACTGATGTTAAATATATTAAGATTTTTATAGTGCAATTTATCCATAACTTCATCTTTTCGCGTTTTCACATAAAACGCGAAAGATGATGAAAGAATTCTATATGACAGAATTCTATGAATATTAAAATATTTTGAAGATTCCTGTATGGTATCATCGATAGAAGATCCTCCGAAAGAATGCTTTTGCTTATCGGAATGGGATAGGGAAATTAACGCCGAGATAGCATTCCTAAATGAGATCTCAAGCCTGTTTTCCATAAATCCACGAAACTGCTCGTTTCAATGACCGCGTAAATCTGTGCGCGAGCATATTTCAACGTCCGTGGTTGATTTACAATCTGGCTATATCGCTTCCAGCGACTGTACACACACGGATCCGCCTGCGATAGTGTGGCGTTGGCCTGGGACGACGGCGACCACTCTCTGCGACCGAGCCGTACGTGCCGGGGTCATATTCTCATCGGCGATGCACGGCCTCTGCCGCGGCTGCCGTACAGTCTACCGAAACAGTTCGTCGCCAAGTCTGGTCGCATCCGTTCCTCGTGGGTTTAAAGTCGCTCGTCGGGGAGGAGAGAGGAAGGAAAAAAAAAAGTGGCGAGGGCAGAGAGGAACAGGGATCGGAAAAGAGAGAGACTCGGTTGCATCCTGATAGAAATCTGATCGCTCGTTACCTGTTCCCCTCTCTCATGCGCCCGCGTCAGAGATATCGTGACCGTTTTTGCGCCGGGTCACGCCGGTTCAGATGCATCGGACCTTACTCTCCTCTTACTCCTTCTTCTTCTTCTTCTTCTTCTTCTACTTCTACTAGTAGAGTCTTTTACAGGGTCGCTGATACGGGCAACAAGTGGAGCGGACTTGATTAAGGATTGACGAGCGATAGGAAGGAGAATTTTAAACCCTCTGTTCTCATATACTCAGTTGTAATTCGATAACTTCGAATAGCCCATAAAGCTTTTTTCGTAGAAAATTGTACATAATGTAATAACATAGAAACATGGAATTGTTATAAACATTTCTTCTCTGATCTATCACAAAATAACTAACACTTGAGACTATTCATGTGGAAGCCAGAAATGTGTTGTATGTACAAGAAAGTATATATCTATATACTATTTTTTTATTTATGTACTTTTATGTATTTATGTATTTTTCTTCTAGCTTCAGTATTTAAAGAGTTAAGTATTACTAGTCGATTAATTAGTTAACACTTGTAGATTTGCCGGAGTATTGCAATTGTCATATATGTATGCGTAGCCTCTTTTTGGCATATGATACGCATAATTTATGTGTGAGTAACGATAGGTACATTGATTGTTCATTAGAGTGTTAAAATAGCATGTAGGTAATTCAATCGCACGTCACAGTGTCAAGCAACGCGAACTTCCTCTTTCGGTCTACAGGGGAGAAGAAAGAAAAAAAAAAAAAAACAGGCGAAAGAGGAAGAAACGGCCAATCGATTGAGTGATTTTCACGATCCATTAACTCTGCGAGTAACAGAGCGTTCCTCCTAACGCGATAATACGTTTACGGTATCGCGTTCAGAAACCACCGGATGTTAGCGAAACACTACCAGCCAAACTTTGGAAAATCGACACAAAGCTCACAATGAAATGTATTGTAAAATATTAGATTCATTTTACCGCTTCGAATTACTCGTGTTTCAGTCAAACTGTCTTCGATACATCATTCGTTTAAGTAATTATAATTTATCGAAAGGCCCAGACTGATTCAATCTAATATAAAACTGAGACATTAAGTCAATCAGTTCAGATTGTGACATACAAATTCATTAATTAAATAAACAGTTAACTAAGATTGATGTACGAAAGGAGAGATAATTCCTGATGTTAATGAATAAAACAAACTGGCGAAAAAAGACTCTTGCATAACCACACGTGAAGAAATACCATTGACCCCCCAAATCGTGTGAAAAGAACACCGTGTAAAAATGTGTTAATTGAAACGCGTGAATTATCAGTGAAAACATTTCTTAAATGTCGTCGACTTACCGACAATGGTTGCCACTCTCTCCTCGCGTGGTTGATCTTCTCGATATCCTGTCTCTGAAATACATAATGAAACATTATATAAAATAGCGAGTAGTAATAAATAAGTAGATTTATTATCAGGCATGTAATTCACTTATGTTAATTTATCACTAATATCAATTCTAACTTAATATAATTTAATTAGAAAAAGTAGATTAAAAATTACAGGAATTCTAACAAATAGACTGAATTTTGTGTAAAATATTGAGACATGAAGGAACATGATGCATGTAATTAATAAAAATATAAGAGCCAAAGTCAAGGAATTGGACGTTCTATTTTTAATTTCCCCTACACTTTTCAATGGCAACATTGGAAATACCCTCGGAATCGATCCTCGAGCAGCGGATGGGAATTATTTAAAGGCGCCCAAGTTGGGGAAACTGGGCTGATTCAGCTTGGAATCTGGAACGAGCCCGTGCAAGAACGACGCGTTATCTGTTCGACGTGTTCACCTATCTGGCCCGGATCGCGCGCGTGTGTCGCACACCCACACGGCCGTGGAGCAGCCGTCCAGGTACGCGGACGACGAGAGTCCGTCGACACGGTTCTCGATTACCTAATCGCACCGGTGCCGAGCGGTGCGCTCCGTCGTGCACGGTTCACGACACGGCATTGTCTCTTTTCCCCGATTGCTCCTGCCTCCTCTCTTTCTTCACGACCGACGCCCCCCCTCGATCCCCGCGGGCGGCGGCGAACAACCGAACCCCGGTCCTAGGCCGGCGTTCAACGACGCGTGAACGCAAACTTTACTCGTTCCATTACATTTTCTACTTGGATAATCCGGTGCAGCCTGTCGCCGACAAGCGGTGTCACGTTCCCGGGACTCCGCGCCGTTCTGTTTCTGACAACCCCCGGTACAAATACCAATTTACCCACCCCTCGGTCCTCTAATTGATGGGTCAACGTGTGATCGGTCAAAAGAATAAATCTTTTCTTTGCCGGATTCCAAATACAATATCATAATTAATAACAATAAAATAAATTCAGAAAACGGAACTGTGCTCTCTTATTTTCATCCCTTGTCGATGCGTCTGTTCACATTTCAGTCATTATAGAGCTCGCAATAGAGAGCGACGGAGTTACATTGTGCGAAGAACAAAAGAGTTAATCGCAACAGTGGAGGAGTACGATTGTTGAATCGGTTGGAACCGTCATCGAATCTCACGCACGATATCGACGAGGGAAACCAGAGACGATCTCGCTGCGGAATGCCGCGCGTAGAAAGCTTGGCTCGGGAGAGAGAGCGCACGGGTCATTAAATTTGCTCCCTCGTGGTCGCGATTATCGGCCCGCGGTTCTCGTTGCCTCGTTTTCCCGGTTTTATCTGCCGGCCGGATCCCGTGTTCTCCGCCAGCCAACGCGGCGACACGGCGCGAGCAGCGTGCTTATTCGCCTCGCAACGCGGGGCGGATTCGCCGTGCGGAGATCGTCGCCGATAGATAGAGTCGGACACTCGCGGCTGGAAACGCGCGAAACGCGCGCTTAAACACTCGGACAAATTGAGGCCGGGCGCAGCGGAGTGTTCGCGTTCGAGAATCCGTTCCACGCTCCAATGCGTATGGAAGTATGCGTTCGCGTGGGCAGTCTACTCGCACGCGAATACACGCTTTTTATACCCGTACACGAGGGTGCGTGTCCCTTGCTCGTGGAATTCAGATTTCATTTAATATCGAATCCACTGTTTATTATCGTTTAAATTGACTCATTTGCAAGCTGCTTATTAGTACAGGATGTTCGGTTACTGGTGGGAAAAATTTTATGAGATGATCCTACAAGCTAAAATAAGACAAAAATTAAGAACAACGAAATTGCAGGCTCTATTTTTCTAGTTAAAAGCGATTAAAAATTGCACTCGTTCTCAGTGTGTCTAAAAGTCTAAATGCCGACATAATTAATAGAGTTTACCTTTACATCGAACAATCACCTAACCAGCAATAATCCCCAAAATGCAATGATAATCGTTAGGATTAGAAAACATGAGCATTTAGAGTCTTAAGCGTACATTGCCCCTGAAAATCACAAGTTTGCCTACCATTCGTTGCAATTTTTAATCGCTCATAACTAAAACCTCGGATGCAATATTTGTATTCTCGATCTGTGAAGATTTTTGATTCCAGAATCATCCCTTAAAATCCCTCCTGAACATCCTGTATAGAAGTTGAGCCAGTAACTTTTACCATTTGAAAATGAAGAGATTTTGATGAATTTCCCGAGCGTAACGTTTATTAACGAGCTCGAGCGTGGTGGAAAAAGAACGAAATACGAGGTGGAGAATGATATAGTGCAGGTAAAGGTTAAGACACTATGTATCCAAGATGGATGCATTGCACACGTTCTACGCGAAAACTAGTAGGGCAACACCGTGCGCCCGGAGGGTTCTTATTATATGACCCACGTATCCGAGGTATGCAAATGGAAGAACGAAACAACGTATCTCGAATGAAATTGGTATTATTTGCAACATTGACTTGGCTAGGAGAGACTCTCCGCTCCCTGCCCGTTCCTCTCCCCCCAGGTAATCCCTCTTGGTCACCCGGTTTCTTTTCGCTCCTCTCTGGCTTAGCACGCTGGCTGCCAGCAATAAATATGCTGATTAAGCGGCAACGTACCGCCGGTTAATTTGCAGTATATCAGTATCCAACAGCGCATTTTAATTGGCCGTGAAGCATTATTGCAACGCGTAATCAATGACGCCACACATCAATGACCGTTCCTATTAACGCCTCGAGCGCGAGTCCCGGGGGGACGCGAAAAGACTGTCCGACACCTGAAATCCGAATGTCCTTGTCGATTTGACAGCAGGACGAATTCACTAACGAAACTAGAAGGAGCATCTGTATGCAACTGTTCTTTCTCATAATTTATAAAATACGATATAAAAATATAAATAAAATACCACAGAACCATAATTATTGATCATCGATTTAATTAATCGATTAGACCCTATTTTTATACCTTATTAATATTTATTATTAATTGAGTATTAATTATTTTTATGCTTTATTAATAATTATGGACTCCAATTGCGAAAAATGTGCTTAGATCGAAGTACAGTTTCTACCATGTTAACGATAGGGAAAAAGGGCAATATTGCTGATCAAGTTTACTGCTTAATTCTACTGTTTGTGAAAAACTCACGACAGTGACATAAAATTAAAAAACTGAAACTTAAGCAATTAATAAATCCGAGAAATACGTTCAAGCACGTTAAAGGAACAACTTAAGTGATTTTAAGACGATCTACTAATTGCGATTAAAAATTCTCACGGCGCGGAGCGTTCGCCGTTAGTTTCTCGCGAGGTAGGGGCGTCGCAATAAATCACAATTGAACGGAGAAACACAGCCGAGGCTCGGAGTTGGCCCCGCGAGCGACGATTTCACGCCTATAATTGCGCTCCCATCCGTAAACCGTTCAAGCGATATTACTCTCTCCGCGATGGACGACGCGACGACGCGGCGACGCGACGCTGCGCTAGTCCGTTGCGCAAGTGTCGTTGCAGATTTCGTTGCAAAATCGCGCAAAAGGTCTGCGCTCGCGACACCGATCTTCCCGGCAACCTTGAAGCCGAGTCGACACGGCGAGCGTGAGACCACGGCCTATTTAGCTGCATCGTTGCACTTTACCGCGGGGGGAATATCGCGATATCGCGATACACACGTTTCTACGTATCTATGTATGCATGTATTTATAGGTTTTCATCGTTTGCACAATTCGACCGATCCGTTCACCCCCTGCGGAATCCCGCTTGACCCGTTCCCTATCCGGGATCTCTGATTTTAATAATTATTGCGCCTCTGCGTCTTTGCATACCCGCGAGAGTTATTGCGACTCAGATGGTGTTCGTTAACCACTCGAAGGAAATTGCTACATCGTTGCATTACTCTAAAAAATTATAATACTTCAAAAACGGAATTCATCCTTCTTCGTCCTAAGGTTGTATGAACCGTAAGATCTCTGCCAAAAGTTAAAGACGTGTAAGAAAAAGACATATCCAACATTTGAAGCAATGAACTTTTAGAAAAAATGATAATTACAGAGGGGTAAGGTTTATAAAATTGTTTTCCTAGGTCATAAGGAATTTTTAACGCATAATTTCTAATATTCNATTATTCATTATACATTTATTACCATAACTCCTATAAAAATTCCTAAACGCATAACTTGCATCCTACGTTGTCACATTCGCGTAATTCATTGAATCCAGTGATTCGTAACTCCTATAAAAATTCCTGAACGCGTAACTTACGTCCTTTACGTTCTTGGATGTCAAGCGAACATGAATGACAGAAGTAACTATTTTGAAATACAAATGCAATTGGATTTTCCAAAACAGGAGTAGGAATGCCGGCTCGCCGCGAACAAGGACAGCCGGCCGATTACTTTTAGACACCCCGTAGACGCGATCCGACTCGTTGCTCAACCCGTCTCGCAAGAGCATAACCTTTGCTGAGACGGACCAAAGTGCGGCGACGCTACGGTTAGAAGGAGAAAGGCGACCGAGAGGGAAAAAGGCAAAGGCGAAGGCGCAGGGGGATACGGGGTACACATACATAGCCAACGAACCGGCAATTATCGTCGCGGTGGATACGGGCCAGAGCGTTATTGCGGCCGCGTTTTCTTCCTCCCCGTAATTCACCGCGTTCCACGGAGTTACGAGCCCGTTTCGCATTTCGACTAATCGCGACCCTATCCTCGTCTCAAATCCTCCAGACGCTCCCGTATTCAACCACTCCGCGCATTCTTCCGAACAAGACTATGAATGAAAGAGAGAGAGAGAGAGTTTCTGTGGTTTCCCAAATTTACCTAAACTCCCTATCAAACCATTTCTCTTTTTAATAAATAATCAATGTTGCAGCATATTTACCTATAATTCCCAGGCTACAAATTTTTATGCATATCAGTATAACTTTTAATAAGCCGCACTCACTTTTCTCGTAGAATCACATTAGGAATGATTTTAAGGAATATTTTAGAAAAGCTTGTCATATAAAAGAGTAATAACGTTTCGTCT